CTATCGATCTATTGAACGTTTGAATACCAGAATAATTTAAAAATTAATGTTCGGATAAAGCAGTCTCTGCTGCACTATCTCTCGAATAGTGATGAAGACATTGTTTTATTATATACAATATTATTATTTATCATAGAAAACATATATATTCAGTTTGTATTGGCGTTTAATTAATTTTTATTTACAGAAATTATTTGAATAACGATACGAATAAAAAGGTATCTTTATTTGACGAGTATCAAATAAATCTGAATAATTTTATTCCACGGGAATTTATTCTAATGCCAATAGATCGTAATAATCAATCGAAAAATTCGATAAAGCGATTTTGAAAATGTGCTATTGTTTCGAGGATGTTCGATACGGACTATGATCTAACGATTATGCGCGAGAGACCATGCGCGATTGAATTAGGTCAGTGACCGCATTTACTTTGAATGTAAGGTCGCGGGTCACCGCAAAATGTTACACCTCTGTAATATAAACGAACGATGTTTGGGCGTCTGAAATAATATTCACATGCAGCATAGCTGTTAACTGCCGCAAAGAAAAAAAATAAATATGCATAAGAGGAGTTTGTGCAACTTTTCATACAATTCTAGTCGAATATGTCAACAGAGTCCTGTGTACTGACCGTGGCGATTTTAGATAAAAAAATCACAAATATGTGATTTTATTTAATAATAAATAAAATAAGCTATAAATAATAAAATAAGTCTGTATAATAAATTAAATTTTATGTAATAACATATAGTCGACAGTGAAATATACTGCACGCGATAGTTTTAGCTAGGAATTCATTTAGGACCATGTTCCCTTCCACTTTTTATACGGTTCGTAAATTGTTCTGTTTCAAAAACATCTTTTCGACTGTTTTGCCAGAAAAATCTCAAAATTTATTTCTACATTTCAATTAGCGTTACTTACCTTCTATTCCAGGCTATACTAAGACGATTACATAATTTACAAATTAATAATTTTCAAAAGAATAAACTTTGAAAGAGGAGGTTCTTCAGCAACGTGCTCGAGACAATTTTGTGAAAGAAATCGACTGATGCATTGTTCCGAGAGATTATCGACTTACTATTTAGACTTACTATTTATTTAATAAATCAGATATAAGTCAGTGTGTATCTCAGTCGAGCAGAAGCGCTAATTTGAACTTGCTTTACGATATAAAACTTCTCGCGAACTGCGTACCATCGCCTATTTTATAGAAACACAGTTCACCGCACATCGCTTCGAAGCCATGATTTTACAGTCGAGAACCTAACGAAGAGCTTTAATTAAAAAGGCTGTTCAATTAGATGCAATGAAACACCAAGATGTCTAACAGTGATTTGCACGCACATCTTTTTTAATGCGATGCAAAGCTGGAAGAAATATATTAAGCTCTTCGGTATGCTCTAGTTTTATGCTCTGTCTCTTTAATGCACGATAATTCCGTTTATTCTTCTCAACGACTCGGTCGACTGTGGATTCAGTAAGCCATGAATAATTACGGCCGCCTCAAGAACGTGACCATTGTTAGCAGACCCTCCGTATCCATATCACAATTTTTTCGAGTCCTGATTTCCATTCCATATTTTAAAGCGAAATCAGAGAATTAATATCTTTAACCGCGTTTCGCTGTTATAAATCGAGTCACCTTCTCGGGGTTATTAATTACACTTTAATAAGTCGTTAATCACATTTATATCGTTTCTTGAGACGAGCGATTCTTACCGTTCGCTATCCAACATTTCGTCTCGCATCGGTATCGCGAATAGCTCCAAATACGAATGTAACTATGATCGCGGAAACTTAAATGATGCAATTTGATCGCGCGAGCTAATTCGAAGAGATCAAAGCTAACGGTTTCATTACCCAAATTCGGGCAATGGTTGTAATTTCCTTATCGGTTGTTATTTACGCATTTCATCACTACTTGGTTAGATGTACACTACGCTGGTCTGTCTGCGTTTATATCCACGTTGTTCTGGAAATCTGTGAAAATATAAATTGTTTATAAAAGGAGATGTAATAAGAGAGTAGGATGTATCAGAATCTCGAGACAGATCGTCTCTCCACGAAAAAGTCGAAAGATATGTTTTGTCGAAAAACTGTAAAAAAGACTATATTATCTATATTATTAATTATATTTTTATATTATATTTTTAATATTATATTATATTTTTAATATTATATTATTAATTAATATCTGATTATAAAAATACTATATTATCCTTTTGCAGTCGACGCTATTTCAACTCCAAAATGAAAGTATTTGTTTCAAGCTACAGTATTTCCATTCGGTATGGCTGTTCTTATTTGATGCATTGGAAATTTCACCTGTTTGCTTACAGAAGATTTCTATTTCTTAACAATTTATCGAATGCATAACTTTGATAATGTGTAAATTTTTCTAAAAAATGGTACAGCAATTTTTAGCGTCACCTCGGAGTCGCCGGTCGAGTGCAAAGGGTTATTTAAGAAGTATCGTTGCGTGCCAATTAATTTCTCGCATCACGCAACAATAACGAATTGAACGATCTCCTACACTACGAGCTCGACTTTAACATTAAAATAATGTTCAAATAAATTTCGCCTAGACCCCTTCGAATTTGATACCCCATTATGTAACGTAAAGGTGATGCGACAATGGCAACAGGTGATTAACATTCCAAAAAAATTAATTAAATTCCAACGAAGATAATACTGAATATATCAAAATGATTGAAAACAAATGACATGTGTACATATTCTAAAAGAGATAACTTCAGCCATATTTGGGGAAAAG